CCAGAATACACCCGTAAAGGTTGGCACAATATCAGGATACCGTGCTGCCCTACGATGGTACTACAAGCGTGAGGATGTCCCAATGCCCACGGAGTACGAGAGCAAGCTCAAGACAATTTTTACAGGCATGCAGCGGCTAACAGCTACCGACGCACAGTCTTCTTCAGTCAAAGATTCTGGCAAGCGCCGGCTGGGCTTCAGCATGTATGAGTCCCTCTGCTCCAAATCGTTGGCAGCTGTGGACAGCGGCTTCGTTCACTTGTTTCTTGTGATTTCATGGAACTTGATGGCACGCTCCAAGTCAACGGAGACCATTCAATTGGACCACATTTCGTTCGAAGAAGATGCCGTGGGAATCACATACTTCAAGTCCAAAACAGACCAAGCAGGGACAAAGAGGCGCGATCCCAGGCACGTTTACGCCAACCCGTCGTCTCCTGCCCTTTGTGCTTTTCTTGCGTTTGGGAATTACTTTGCGTGCAACCCCACCTTGACCAGCGGAGCTCTATTTCCTGGGGCCAGGCAGCGCGATCGTTTTGGCAAGGCGTTGAAGACGTTGGTGCTTTCTGTCTTTGGTGACAACGCCGAAGGTGCAGTTGGAACACATTCGATCCGGAAGGGTGCAGCAACGTTCGTGTGCTCCGGCAGCACGAGTGGACCATCAGTCATCAGCGTGTGCCTTCGCTGCGGGTGGTCTCTTGGCAACGTTGTCGAGAGGTACATGCACTACGAGAAGGCCGGCGATCAGTTCGTTGGCCGTGTCGTAGCAGGACTACCCCTTAACAGCGCTGGATATGCGCAACTGCCGCCCCATTTTATCAGCATTCGACGACGCAATCGTCGCCAGCGCCGTCCGATGCATGTTTCCTGGTCTTTCGAAGAGCATCGCGATTTTTGGAGTCCTGAAACTCAGTTTGGCCTCACTTGTGCATCATTCCGACTACCTGCGCAGTAACCTTCCTGCCAATCGTGCTGTCTTGCAGACGTCTGTCTTTCGCGACGAAGATATGATGTCAAGACTCAAGTCACTTGTTCGGTCCAGCTCAGCAACACTGAAGCCTACAGGACTTCCTCCATACGTCGAGATCTACCGGTAGCTCGAAGTGCAGCACACGACACTCAAGAGACTGTCCTCAGAAGTTGAGGCCAACATCCGTCGCATTTTGGACGAGAAGGAGCTCGCCACAGGCACAGTTACCCCTGCAAACAGCTTGTCTGGGGCGGTCGACTGCACAAGTTGCCAGAGACGTTTGTGTTTCCTA